TATAATATATGATAGGGTATGAAATATTTTAATTTAATTTTCTTTTTTAACCTCATATTTTTCAAGTTATCTAATTAGTGTTATTTCTTACTTTTGAAGGGTGATCCTAATGCACAAATTCATTGGTATTATAACAAAGAAGCATATTCTTTGACTTACAAACACAAGTTTCAACTAATTAAGGGTATAAAATTCTTAAAAATTAATCGCATCCTAGCAATGGAACCACCTGAAATTTCCAAGACTGTGGGCAGATCCAAAATAAAGAGAAATAGAGAACCTGATGAAGCAAGGATGAGGAAGGGAGAGTGGAGTTATACAAGGAAAGGAACTGTAATAACATGCAGCAAGTGTGGTGGAAAGAACCACAATTCTAGGACTTGTTTCAAAGTAAAACAAACGTATAATGGAATTTTAAAGTATGAAAAATTCTTCTTGACTCATTCTTTGGGTGACAGGGAAAAGATGGTGGAGAAAGTACAATATCAAGTAAAAAGAAGCAAAAGGATAGTACAATATCGACTCTTAGTACTGAAGATGATTGGTTGGACTTTGAATCTAAAATTGAAGTATGGACATAACAATTAGATTACTCTTCTTAAGTCACAACACAACAATCACAAGCCTATGGTCCAGATATTGGTGATGAGGAAGATCCATCGTTGAGGTCACAAATCATCTCTGAGTCACAATTAATACATAAGGCAAGAAGGTTGAAAGCAAGACTACCACGTGGGACAAGAAAGATTTAATTACTGGGGGCACAAATGGAGTGTCCGTGCCACCTAACTTGCCTTATTCACCATCTAAGGCAACTTGGAAGGGGAAATTTGAACTTACACTTAGCCATCTCCAAGCTGAAGCAAGAAAAAAGAGAATGAAGATGGTGCCAAATGGGAAAGGAGTCCCTGAACAAAATTCTGAAATTTAGCAAAAGTTGGGCAGATCATCATTTGGCTAGTTATGTTTTTGATGGATGGTTGTGTACGAAACTGGTGGTATTTGTCTAGTTATATTTGTGAAAAAACTTAATTAACTTAGTTTATGGATGACTATTATGCACAAAACTGTTAGTTTTTGGTGAATTCACAATCACATTTGACATGTCGAGGATTGATATGTTTATGTGAAAATAAATTTCAATTAGTATCAAAGTTTGTTAAGGTTAACCTTTTATACACAATTGTTGGTTTAACTGATATGAATGTTATCTTGGTTTAGTGGATACGAATGTCTTTTTGGATAATGGATGCGAAAGTTATTTGTATATGAATACTGTTTGGGCTGCTGTGACAACAGAGGCAATTTCAGTTGTGTCAGTTTCTCAGCAGTTGTTCTAGTTGTTGTTCTTCAGGTTTTGATATTGTAATTTCTCATTGCAGATTCAAGGAACAAAGTTCATTTTCTAGAAATTACAATGGTTATATTGTGGCTCAGTTCTTGTTAATTGATTGATTGAAATGACTTATCATTTGTTCAATCCTCCAAATTTTCTGGTTTTACCTTGATTTAATTGAATATCCTAATAAGTACCTACCTTGTTCAAATTCGTAACTCAGTTCCTTCTTACCTTGATATTCAATGTTGATTGTCGACTTCTGCAATTTATTTAACTACTGGTTGCTAGTAAGAGATTTTGATCTAAGACCTGAAGGAAAAATGGAGAGGGACAACAATGCAATAATAACAGACGAGTTCCAATTCTTTCATGTTTTCTTGGAAACTGTTTTACAGTTAATCATATTACTAATCAAATCCGTGCGAGGATTGCATTTAAAGTACAAATAGTGGATTTGAAAAAGAATATTTCATTACAAACCATCAATAAGACACAAAACTGACATTACATTCCAATCCATCTAAAACATTTCCAATCATAATCATCCAACCATTACATCACAATGCATCTAAATTATACAACTGTATGGGGTAAAATTTATTAGTGACAGCTAGGCAAGTGATGAAACAACACGTGAAACTAAGAGTCTGTTTGGATGGGCTTAAAAGCTGGTCAAACCAACTTTTAAACAGTTTTTAACTTGTGGAAGTGTTTGGCAACCAAAAAATGGGCTTTAAAAAGTTACAATCTACTTAAAAAAAGCCAAAACCAATAAGTTGAAAAATTCAACTTTTTCTAAATTGGCTTAAAAGCCATATTGCTTTGACAAAGGATATTACATTCTTATCCGTTATAATTTTCTTAATCCCGAAATTACCCCTAAGTAAAAATCCTACAACATACCTTTTTTTTTTCTCCATTCTCCAATATTTGTCAATTTCTTGAAGTTCTTAACGTGAAGCAAACAATAGTTTTTAAAATAATGTTTGGTACATTCCAATATTTTGTAAATATTGTTCTTTTGGATTCTTTTTTTAGTTCCATAACCTTTAATTTTTTTGGTCGTTGAATCCTTCCTTTTTTTAATTGGTGTAACTATATTCTAAAATCAAATCATTCAATGAATTTACGCGTTACCCCTGAATTTGAAGTTATGAACGGAAAATATAATATTATAGTCATCATTTTCTTTATAATGTTAACAACTTTAAGGATATTTCAATCATTTTAACAAAAAAAAGTGCTTACCAGTATTTGTTTACCAAACACTTCATCAGCTTGTTTTAAGTTTCAGCACTTTTATCCAAACACGTAACTGCTTATTTATAAAACAAGTTCCATCACTTATAAAGTGCTTTTAAGCACTTAACTTAAAAGCCACTTTTTTAAGCCAATCCAAACGGGCCCTAAAGACAAATGGGACGAGAATCAGCAAACAGCTGGTACCGGATGTAAGCATGCAATCTGTGTTGAACGAATCCCGAAGATAGAGTAGTCGGTGATAAAGATTCAAAGCATTGCCACCAGACAACATTCAATGGGTAGTCGTTATAGAGAATACTTAAATTTATAGCCAACTGTTATGCATCTATCAATGATGATTTTATTCTCATTCAAAACGGGATGGATTTGAGGATCATTTTTCCTAAATAGAGCTATAAATAGGAGGATCAACATCCACTGTAGATACGAAATACTCTGTACACAAAAAGCTATATTTTGCTCTCTCAATTATAAAATTATTTACTTTCTTTTGCTCTCAATATTGTTTGTAGTTCTGCTATCGGAAAGATCAAGCGCGTAGTAGCATTTCTTTTAACTTTGCTTCATAATCATTTTGTTCTTATTTACTTAATATATTTTAGGTCAAATCGATTCAATTGTCTATAAATTATGCTATAAATTCAACTGTACCATTTTATGGATAAATAGTTTGGCGTACACCGTGGGGAATAGACAATTGTGTAATTGATTTAATCTATTCATTTGCTAATATCAAGATTTGATTCTTTCCTTAGTAAAAGAAAATTCATATATGGCATCTAATGATGGCAACAATGTTTACAATGTTGGAGCACACGATGAACGGGAAGATATTTTTTAGCATGATGATTCGACCAGTGAAACCTGCAATTAAGGGGATTAAGCAACCCCAGTTCGCGAAGGTCAGTATCCTCGGCATGTGCGGGGACCAACTCCTGATGATTTGGAGGATGAGCATGTTGTTGAAACAATCAAAATCTTAAGAGAACAACAAAAAGTGATTATGAATCACCTCTCAAGGAAAGATCGCGTGATGACGGAATTGAAGCAGGCATTATCGGGTGCTTTCAATAGTGATAATGGAAGGGCTTTGGTTCCTCCTAATGGTCTCGCAAACCAAACGGCTCAAAGAATCGATATCAACACTCCAAGGGATGAGGCCAATTTTGACGAGGCCGGAGGGACCAGTAGTGGATCTGGGAACAACAACTTAAGTGAACCTTTAAAAATCAAGCTCATGAGATTCATGAGATAAATGAATGAACGGATGGATCAGAACGCAAAGGAGTTTCACGCTCGAATGGATCAAATCCCAAGTGTGGCACCGGAGTTGATCCCAAAGAGGTTTAAGATGCCAGATATACCAAAGTATGATGGGACTTCGGATCTAAATGAGCACATCATGACCTACACTATGGCTGTAAAGGGAAATGACTTGGCCCAACATGAGATCGAATCGGTTTTGGTGAAGAAGTTTGGCAAAACCCTTACAAAGGGTTCCCTAACTTGGTATTCCCTCTTACCATAATATTCTATTAACTCTTTCGAAATGCTTGCATATTCATTTATCATAGCTCATGCTGGATCAAGAAAGGTCTATGCAAGTAAGGCGGATATATTCCGTATATCTCAAGGAGAAACTGAATTATTTTGAGAGTACGTGATCCGGCTCCAGAAAGAAAGGATGGTATTACCAGCGGTTCCGGATGAGTGGGTAGTGGAGGCATTTACAAAGGGTATTAACCCATTGAGCTCTGATGCCTCAGGAAAATTGAAGGAAAGCTTGCTCGAGTTTCAGGCAACCACATAGGCAGATGTTCACAACCGCTATGAGTCAAAGATCAGAATAGAAGATGATCAACTTGGTTCTTCAGGGTCTTCCAAAGGACGGAATCATGATTAGAATCAAGGTAAGATAAAAATTAATTTTAACACAGATCGGAGACCCTCTAGGAGTCATTTCAGCCTTACGAGAGGGTTGATGAGCACGGTAATAAAGTACTCTAGTCATAGTATAGGTTCATTCCGATAGAAGGATAGATCATGGACAGAGTAATAGATCGTTGCATGAGAAAGAGGTACTAGAGTCCCGAGATTCGGTGTATCCTCGGTTGTCCGATTATAATTTTAATATCAGCCTGGTGGAATTGGTGTCAGCCATGAGAAATATCAATGAAGCTAGGTTCCTAAGACCAATCCGATTGAATCATAGCCAAAGGAATCTTAATTTATGGTGTGAATTCCATGGGACTCACGACCATAGGACTGGGGATTGCTGACATCTTCGTGAAGAGGTGGCAACGTTGTTGAAGAATGGTGACCTCAGAGTGTTTTTAAGTGACCGCACCAATAACAACTATGGGAGAAACCATCGAAGCCAGCAACATCATAACCTGGGATGACAATCAACATGATCTTCGGAGGAAATGAGGTCATTGGGCTGACATTTTTGGCAGCAAAGAAGATGAAGAAATCGGTGACTCATGGCAAGAGAATCCAAGAAGTCTCAGAAAACGACATCACCTTCACAGAGGAGGATGTTGATGAACTTCTTCTACCGCACAATGATGCAATGGTAATCTCTCTCATTATTTTATATTTCAAAATTAAGCGTGTTTTGGTTGATCCGGGAAGTTCAACCAACATCATACAATGGAGAGTTCTGGAGCAAGCTAAGTTAACCGGAAATATCATTCCGGTGACAAAACTTCTAGTTGGCTTCAATCAAATAAGTGTGACAACCCAAGGAGAAATTTTGCTGCCCACGCATGCCGAAGGCATAACAAAGACCACCCTATTCGAAGTAGTAGATAGCGACATGGGATATAATGTAATCCTCGGAAGGCCATGGATACATGAGATGAGAGTTGTGCCCTCAACCTATCATCAACTGTTGAAGTTTCCGACACCAGAAGGGATCAAGAAGATCAGAAGAGATCAAACGGTAGCGAGGAAGATGAATGCAATAACAGTTTCCAACAGCAAGGGCAAAGAATCCGGCAAATAGCAATTACAGGAACAAGTGTCCTCTTCTATCCCAATCGAAGATGATAAAGACAAGGAATCATCATAGTTATATCAGGTACTGAGATCTTTTCAAGTACCGGAGGCTATGGATGTGACTAAGTCAACTGTCGAAAAACTCAAACAAGTGACCTTGTTCGAGGAATTATTGGAAAGGAAATTCCATTTAGGAATGGGGTTGAGTCCCGAACTCAGGTTAAAAATTATGGATTTTCTTAAATCTAAGGTTAATTGCTTTGCTTGGTCGCATTCAAATATGACAGGTATTCTGTTGGAGGTGGTGGTCCACAAATAGAGTCTGGATCCAAACTTCCCTCCGGTAAGGCAGAAGAAACGACTGATAGCAGAGGTCAAAAATATGTTTGTTAAGGAAGAGGTAACCCGATTACTTAACATCAGTTCGATTTGTAAGGTAAAGTACCCGGAGTGGATAGCTAACATAGTGGTAGTGTCTAAAAAGAATAACAAATTTAGGATGTCTGTAGACTATAAGGATTTAAATAAGGCATGCCCCAAAGACTCTTTCCCATTGCCAAATATTGATCAAATGATCGATGCTATGGCCGGGCACGAGTTAATGAGTTTTCTTGATGATTATTCCGGGTATAATAAAATTAGGATAAACCCGAAAGATCAAAAGAAGACTTGTTTCATCACAAATTTTGGCACATATTACTATAATATGATGCCTTTTGGGCTTAAAAATTCCGGAGCCACTTATAAGAGGCTCGTTAATAAGATATTTAAAAAACATATAGGTAAGAGAAGTTTTTATAGATGACATGTTAGTTAAATCTGTTAATGCAGGAGATTATTTGTAACATCTCCAAGAGACTTTTGACATTCTAAGAAATTGTAACATGAAGATCAACCCGGAGAAGTGTGCCTTCGGGGTTGGCTTTGGTAAAATCTTGGGGTTTCTGGCATCCCAAAGAGGGATCGATGTAAACCCTGACAAGATCAAAGCCATCGAGGATATCCCGTACCAGCTAACAAGTGTGAAGGAAGTATAGAGGTTGACTGGTAGGTTGGCAGCTCTAAGCAGGTTCATCTCAAGGTCCTCGAAGAAGTGCCACCACTTCTTTTCACTTTTAAAAAAGAAGAACGACTTCGTGTGTACTCTGGAATGCCAACAGGCACTGAAGGACCTAAAAGGGTACCTATCTAGCCCTCTGTTGTTGTCAAAACTAGGAGAAGGTGAGCAATTGCTAATTTATCTGGCGGTCTCGGAAGTAGCGGTAAGTACCGTTTGGTTCGGAAAGACGAAGGTACGCAATATTCCATTTATTATGTTAGTAAAATATTATCAGGAGCAAAGACACGCTACTTGAACCATGAAAAGCCGGCGTTAGTTCTCGTAGTTTCCTCTCGAAAGCTTATGCCTTATTTTTATTGTCAACTAATAGTCGTTGTTACATCTTTTCCCTTAAGGAATGTCCTCCATAAGTCGGAGTGGTTAAATTGCTCGGCTAAATAGGCAGTTGAAATTAGTGAATTCGACATTGAATACAAGCCCAAGACTGCAATTAAGTCACAACTTTGGGCCGACTTCGTGGACAATTTTAGCCCGGGATTAATGCCTTTAGCTTTTAAAGAAGTAATGTTGATATGAGGAACGCTATCGGGAGTTTGGACCTTGTTTACGGATGGAGATTCTAACGTAAAAGGGTTCTGTCTTGGGGTAGTATTAATCACTCATTCGGGGAAACCCTGAGGCAGGCCATTAGAACTGTGCCATAAACTAACAATGTAGCCAAGTACGAGGCTTTGGTTGCAGGACTTGAACTAGCTCGGGGACTAGGCTCCTAGGTCATCGAAGTGAAGTGCGACTCCCAGCTAGTGGTAAACCAAGTGTATGGAATTTTTGACACCAAGGACGAGCACATGCAGTAGTACTTAAACATGGTTCAAGCATTATTTGCGCGGTTCAAAGAGTGGTCAATCATCCACATTCCAAGGGAGGAAAATGTGGAGGCAGACGCATTGGCTAATTTGGGTTCATCCATAGAGATGAAAGGATCTGATTCTTGTGCGGTCATTCAGTTGTTGCATTCGGTGTTGAATGTGGACGACTATTGTGAATTTAATTTAACCAACTTAATATGGTACTAGAGGAATGAGTTCATTGAATATCTAAGACACGGCAAATTGCCCAAGGATCCAAAGCATCCTGGGCACTATAGACCAAGGCGGCTCGTTACTATCTTGTTGATGGACAGTTATACAGGAGTTCGTTCCAAGGACCATTGGCTCGATGTCTAGGGCCCTCGGAGGCTGACTACCTGATGAGGGAAGTTCACGAAGGAGTATGCGGGAACCATTCCAGTAAAGACTCATTGTTTCTTACGTTAGTTAGAGATAGCTACTATAGGCCCCAGATGGAGCAGGACGCGAAGACATTTATACAAAAGTGTGATAAATGTCAATATTATGCACAATTAGTGCATCAACCAACGAAAATTTTGCATTCAGTGGTGAAATGGGGGATGGACATAGTCGGTCCCTTAACACACGGGCACGGTAAGGTAAAATTTCTTTGGGTTTTAACTGATTACTTTACTAAATGGGTTGAAGGATGTGCTTACCAAAAGATCGGATAACGAGAAGCGATCGATTTCATATGAGATCATATTGTCTGTCGATTTGAAATACCGAAAGAAGTTTCTTGTGACAACATGGTGCAGTTTATAGGTTCCAAAGTCACAAAGTTTTTGGAAGGATTGAAGATCAAATGAATTACGTCTTCACCATACCACCCGAGCGCTAATGGACAGGCGGAGTTGACCAATAAGATAATTATTTAAAACCATAAAAAGAAGCTAGAAAATGCTAAGGGCAAGTGGCCAGATGAGCTACTATGTGTGTTATGGGCATACCGGACCACAGCGAAGTCAAGCACGGGAGAGACACCCTTTTCGCTAGTGTACGGTTCAGTGGCTTTGATACCGGTCGAAGTGGGGGAACCGACCCTGAGATTTTTCCAAGGAAACAAAGAAACAAACAATTAGTCGATGCTAGTTAAGATGGATTTGCTTAAAAAATACCGGGATCTAGCATATGTGAGGATGGTGGCACAAAAGTAAAGGATGGAAAGAAATTACAACCGCATAGAAAATCTCCGATATTGTAAAGTTGGGGATTTGGTTCTGAGGAATGTCACTCAAAGAACTCGGGAAGTTAACGCCGAGAAGCAGGGATCGACATGGGAAGTACCTTACCAGATTTCATCCATAACCAGTAAAGGTTCATACGAATTGGAAAATCAAGATGGAGTTAAATTCCCAAGCAATTGGAATGTGACTCACCTCAACAGGTATTACTGATGAAGATCCTCATTGGTACTGAAAGTATGTGCTGAACTCTACTTCTCTTCGACCAGTTTTTCTCCCAATCAGGTTTTTCTGGCAAGGTTTTTAACGAGGTAGCGATGTAAAGCATACTACGAAGGAAGGATCATCGACAAGCTGATGAACAACTCTCTGTGGATCAACTCGTATGTCAATCAATGTGTGGATGGTTAAATAATCTTTAGCTCGATAGCATATCTCATCTCCTAAGATTATCATTGGCCTCTAGAAACAGATTATTTACCCATCCATAAGTTATTTCCATTATCGAGGAAACAATGTAAAAGCACACTATGAAGGAACTATCATCGGCGAATGCAGGACTTCTAGTGTTTGAATTCTCATACTTAGCATCCTAACACTAGGGGGAATAATACATAACAAAACACTAAAAGTGTTTCAAAAATCGGAGACTTTTAGAACCTAGATCAATGTCTTATCAGCTTGGGGGGACTGTATGATCAGCCCCGTAGAAATAAATTGTACAAGTTAGCCACATGTATCGGCAACTTTATTTACTTAAGCAAATAAATATTTATGTAAATATACTTTTAAAGATAAAGGGAATAAATCAAAGTCCTTTTACTTTTATCTTATTTCTTTTCCGAATGATAAGTATATTTGTTTTATCATTTGAGAGTTAACAAAAACTTCAAATGCTTGTGCCGGAATGAACAGAAGACGTGCTCTGCAAGAGTATGGTAAACGTAAGGGCTCTCTCTCTCTTTTGAAACCCTCCTAGTAAAGGGTATATTCCGAAAGTGTTTTTGCTCGGAATCAAAAGCTATTGGATATGAAAAGATTCTCGAAGCTCTGTTAATTAAACGAAAAGGAATATCTTTTGCACAACACTTAAGAAAATGGTTTCTTTTATTTAAATGCCAAACTTAGTAAAATATTTTGGAATAATTATAAAAAAAGTAAAGAAAAATATATACATCAGTTCTTGCTGCCAGAACCTGAAGTGAGAGAAACGTCTTTGTTTTATCTTGTGGGAGAAGGCTATTCCGCTTCCGGTTCGAGGTATTCATCTTCTTCAGTTTCTCCCCAGTTCCTAAATACTCGGAGTTAGTATTCGAAGAATCAGAAGCAACAAGTCGAGAAGGAAGATTCTCATGATCGGTTGTCTCCAGCTCCCGTGCCTTGGCAATGCATTCATCAATATTAGCAATGCCCTCTTTGGACTCCTCCAAGGTCTTTCTATTTGTATGGTAAATGGCGTAGGTTTTCACGAAGATGATTGAATCCTCTTGGTCTTGGAGTTTGGCCTGGAGTTTTTTAATCTTGGATTGGAGCTTTTCATTTTCAGCCTTCATAATGCTGATTTTTGAGTCAAGCTCGACATTGGTTCTCGAATGGAGTTGATTATGCTCCATAACTCTTTTAAGCCTTTCCTCCTTCCTTGCTCTTTGACCCTCGGTAACATTGGCCTCGTCGGTTTTGGGGCGTAAGTTAGCTTCCAAATTATTAACTTGCTCTATCAAAGCAGACTTGCGCTCGGTAGTAGCAGTCACAGTGTCATATAATTCAACCCACTTAGCCTTTGCTTCCATACAGTTTTCATGTAGCTGGGCAGCTTCCTGGCTGTAGGCCATTCCATCTTGCTCGGACTGCTACAACTGGGCCTCGAGATCAT